AAATTAAATTTTAATTAAATAAAATAATATCAAGACTTCATTTTTAAAAAAATTTAAACTAATATGTAATGTTTTTTTCATTATATATAATTTTAAAAATTTTACTTTTTATTAAAAAAATATTACACAATAAATATTATACACTATTAAATGAAAAAAAAAACCTTGTAATATTGAGAGCTCCTTCCCCTTCAATGTGTTCAAATTGTAAAATGGATATTTTTTTGGTTAAATGCTAATTTTGGTCCCTCAACTTCATAATGTTAGATAATTTTCATGCCTTTGACTATTTTTTACACTTTTTTATCCCTCAACTCTAGAAATTACGTAATTTTGGTCTCTCTGTTAGTTAAGTATAACGTGACTTTGAAATAATTCCATAATGACATTTTCTTTTAATTTTTTGATGATGTGGCAATGGCATGTCTTGCAATTTAAGTTATATAAACAAATAAAAACACCACAGATGAATATTTATATTTTTAATAAGAAAAAAAAAACCTCTTGTATCATCTTTTTCCCCTTTTTTCTTTCTCTTTCTTCCTCTTTCTTGCTGCTAGGTTCGATACCAAACCTAGTAGAGCTGGGATCCACTGAATCCAGTTGCTAGGTTTGATGAAACCTAGATCCATTATGGGTTTGCTAAAACCCAACTGTGCTAGGTTCAATAGAACTCAAAGTAGATCTGGGTTCCATTAAACCTAGAGCAAATCTGGGTTCGATGGAACCTAATCATTAGGTTCCATTGATACAAAGAAAAAAAAAAAAAAACACCAATAAGCTAAGTTTGCAATTCAAGAGTTGAGATGGCAACCTGAATTGGTGAACAAATATCCTGAGTTGTGTAGAACAAATAGCAACCACAGACTCATTATGTTATTTCCTTTAATTCTTGTTGCATTTGTTCATTGGGCTATTTTGTATTGTAGACAAGAATCATACAGCACTAATATATGTATGCTATGATTCCTCATTGTGGATATGAGAATACTTTGGTTTGTTCTTCCTTAAACCCTTTGTATCTCTCATTTCTCTCTGTAATCCAGATTTATTAAGGAATATACATCGAGGATTTTTCTTTCTTTTATAGATCTTCCTTATTGTTTCTCATTTTTATTTCTTCTTTATTATCCACCAAACCCAACAAAAGGAAAGAGGAAGAAAGAGGGGGAAGAAGATTGATTGAAAGGGAGAGGGTAATAACGTAACTTTTATTGTTTTTTTATTTTTGTATTAAAAATATAAATATTTATCTAATGTGATATTTTTATTTGTTTATGTAACCTAAATCATAAAACATGTCATTGCCACATCATCAAAAAATTAAAATAAAATGCCATTATGAAATTATTTAACAATCACATCATACTTAATTGATGGAGGGATCAAAATTGTACAGTTTCTAAAGTTGAGGAATCAAAAAAGTACAAAAAATAGTTAAGGGACAAAAATTATGTAACACTATAAAGTTGAGGGACCAAAATTAGTATTTAATCTTTTTTTTTTTTCTTCAAAAAAAAGAGGGTATTGGATTGGATAGTGGGCGGCGGCCATAGGACACCGTTGTTCCAAGTTGTCTGATTCCGTTTCAGTGGCTTAGCGAGCCGGCCCACGACCCATACCTAAATCCTTTTTGAGATATTGGACTCTTTATGAGAGTTGGGAAACTATTCACCGTCGGCGGGCCTTACGTCGTTAAGTACTTTTTCATTCATAAAGTATACTTTTTGTTCTTAATTACGCGTTTAGGTTTCAAACCGTAGTCTTTGGATATCACAAAAAAAAAATTAATGATAATTGGGACGATAAAATGAAACAAAAATAGAAAAGGAATATGAAGTGACAATTATCTCAGTAAAATATTATTTAAAAAAAAAAATCTCACATAATACATAATCAGCAAATCATGTCATTAATTTTATAAAATCGTCTCGTGCATTTGCCTTTGTAGCATCACCTCACAAAAAATCTACTCTCTTTTGACATTTTCTATTTTATTAAAAGAAACCATTGTCCCTTCGTACCGAAAGTGAATTTATTATTAAAGCAATTATTCTAGCAAGTAGAAGAAAGGGGTGGGGCAGAAATGAAGATGGGATTAAAAAGTGAATTAGGCTTTAATTAAGTAATGCTGAAGAGGCTAGATTCTTCTCTGTAACCAAAAAAAAAAAAAAATACAATGCATTAATTGCTGAGACGAATTGAATGGAATTAACTTAATTTAATAAATAGTTTAGTAATTTTTATATTTTTTATTTCATCTATTATTTTTATATATTTTTAGATTTATTTATTACCTTTTACTTTTAATTTAATTTAATTTAATTTTTTAATGTTAGAAACTGAAAAAAATGAGAAATATCTGAAGAAAGGTTTATTGCTTTCTTAAATTATACTGTATGTACAATGACCTATATATAGGTGTTTACAAAGAGAATATTCTAAAGTATAAAGTATATAAAGAGAATATTTTAAAATATAAAATATTTACAATTATTCTAAATATAATTATGTTCA